TGTCTGCAATTAGTATTTAGAGCAGTTAATTCATCCTGAAGTTGTTGACAAAGACTTCAAAGAGGAACTATCATTTGAGCTAAGCCTCACTTCTCTATACAGAGATGCACTATGTAGAAAAGAATGGGAATAACAATTATAGGCAGAAAGAACAGCATTTAAAAAGGCAAGGAGGTTTTTGAGAATATGATATATTCAGGGCATGACTTAAAGTTTCACTGGAGAGAGTACAATATATATGTTAGTGGAGCTGACATTATTTATTCACAAACATATTTATCTAATTCATAAGCATTCTTGGCACTTCATCTATAAGCCGTTGTATAGGTCCTGGAGAACTAGAGATGAACAATATGTAGTACCTGCCATCCAGGAGAGCTCATTCTCATAGTGGAGACAGAAATATGTTTAAATTGATGTAGTGAGATAGGAGCTATAATAGAGAGGTAGAATAGACAGAGAAATAGAATGAGGTAGAAGCTATAATAATGTTTGTGAATGTGTTGAGTGTGTACATGCATGAGAGTGTGTGTGTGTATGTATGTGTGCATGTGTGCTTACTCAGAACGTTCAGTCATGCATGACTGAATCTGAGGATGTGAGTTACAGACCTCCCTCATTCATGTGGATGTCCTCAAGACATTGAACTCAGGACAAGGCCTTATTCCAAGAGCTGGATCAGCCTTTAGTCCCCAAGTCTTGAAAGCACACACCACAGGACCTAAAATCTTCCTGGGTGTCTGGCAGGATTGGGTGCTGTGCCATTTTCTTTCTGGGATCTTCTGGGGAGTCATGAACAACCTGCTTAAGCATAAAGATTCTTTACTCTACCTTTATTTTCATACCATTGATATAATATGAATAACTTCAGAGGCTTGTTGAGAGGAATAAAGAAGTGAATACATTATAAAGTACTTAGAATGGCCTAGCATATGGTCAATGCTATTAGGAAATAGTACTATAATAATTATTATTATCTTATTGTTTCCATGGATATCATAGACTATCTGTGTTAAATGGAATCATAAGTCTGCCTTGTCTAACCTCACATCAAGTACAGGAACTTTATCCCCTAAATCTTCTAATACTTGTACTTCTCTGTAAGGCAGCCCTCTCTACTTTCTCTTCAGCTGAATGTTAAAGAGTCTCTATACTGAACTAGAATCTGCCTTCTTGTGATGCCTACCAATGTTATTCTGGGATAAGAAGTTTTTTTCCCTTTTTTTCATTGCTTTTTAAATAAATAAGTATTACTTGAGACCGCTCTATGCCATCACTAGAGTTAAAGAAGTAACACAGTTTATATTTTCAAGAAGCCTACTCTTTGAAGAAATATCCAAATATCCATTTACTTTTATTGTTCATTGTTAAGAGACAAACTAGATGATAAAAATCTTTTTATATCATTTTTTAAAGTAGAAAAAAATAATGAAGACTCAATAGTCAGGGAAGGCTTTAGAGAAAAGCTATGTTAAAGGGTAGTCACTTATACATTGATTTGTTCATTTAAAAAATATTTAAACCTTTGTTGACAATTGACTATATGCCTCATCTATCAGTAGGAGTTCACCAAGTATGAAGATGGTGGGGAAGACAGTTCAGGTAGAGGAAAGATCAAGTACAAAACATAGAGATATTGAAGGTATGGCACAAAATTGTGTTAGGGAGTTATGAGTAGTTGAATATAAACAAAGCAAAGGTTTCAAGGAAGGTGAAATGGGTGACGATGCTGGAATCACAAGGCCATCACAGGCCTTGTGGGCCAAACTGAAATGTGAGGATAGAAAGTTGCTTAAAAGTTTTTAAGCAAGAAAGTACTACAAAATCAGGTTTTTCTGGAAGTAGAAGGTAAGGCTGTAAGTTGGATGGCAAGGGGAAAAGGAGAATGGAAAGATACTGTAGGGATTATGAATACAGGATTTTGAGCCACACTGGCCTAAGCTTAATACAGGATCTGCTGCTCACTGATCTTGTGACCTCAGAGAATCTTTTTTTTCCCTCTCGTGGCTTCAATTTTTTTTTATCTGTGTAAAGGGGATAACAGCCCCAGCTCATAAGGTTATTGTGAGGATTAAATGATAATGCATATAATACACGTAATACAATGGCTGAGACATAACAAACAAAATAAGAGAAAAATCAGAAGTATGTCCCAAATGAAGGAGATATTTTTTCCTCCCTATTTTCAGCCCCCTTTGCTTTATTCTTTGCATTACTTGAAAGTCTTGAATTTTGCCTGCTGAGCCCTCCTCAAATAGATTTCTGTTTGTATCCTTAGGAAAGTCTAGACAATCTAAGCACTGAGCAGCATCTCAGTTTCCCTGAATGATTGCCCCAGAGCCCATTAACTCTACTTTGTCTGCTAATCAGGTTAGGCATCCGGGCTCACCCAGGAGAGGAGCTGGAACAGCTGCAGGCAGTAGATGGATTTTCCTGATAGCACATAATCAAATTCAGTGGAGACAGCAGGCATTCAGAGTCAAGTTGCAGAACTTGGCTGGAAGAGGAGAAAACTGTGGTGACAGAATTTAAAGCATATACCCTGGTTGGATATACTGGTAAATAAAGAGCTGAAAACAGCATCATAACCTGAGACCTTATGAATATAGGAACCGCTTGTGAATGAAGACATACTCATCCAGGGCTCTAAGAGACTCAAACTCAGACCTTCAAGTCAGGGCCTGAAGTGACTATCACAGATCATTGGCTGGAAACATTAAGGCCACTTTCACAGACATTATCCCCAAATACAAATCAGGAGCCCTGAGACTTGCATATGCCGCCAACCTGCCTCACTTTCCTGCATCTTCAATAACATCACAAATGTAGAGCATCATGTATTCTGTCCATACTCACATCCTTGCACTCGTCTGTTCTCTCTCTAATCTTGACTCTTCACTGCTTCCTTCCCTCTCCCTCTTCAGACCTCTTCATTTTCCACTTTTTCCTCTGGAACACAGCTCCATGGTTAATAATCCCACTTCGATCCTCAGTCTTTAAGTTCACTTCTTCCTTTACCCCTTGTCTTAACCAAACTAGACTTGGTTAAAAGTCTATGATGCTTAAATATTTGCTGAGTAAAACAATGAACTGAGGCCTGACTCTTTTGGAGGACATTACTTCGCCCATTGCCCTCTCAAGAAATCCTCATTCTTCTACACTGCACATACAGAAGGATCAGGAGGGGTCACTTTGCTCCTCTCCTCATGTACCTTCCAAGCCATCATTTCTCTACCTCATCACTGATAACTCCAGAATTTAGGGTAGCAATCTAGTTAGAAGAAGGAGTGCCTATAAGATTTGTCTTAAAGATATATTTCCATTATAAGAAGACTGTTATTTATATATTTATTGGCAGTGGCTTTGGGAGTAGGAGGTAAATGGACTCTATTGGTGGGCCAAAGTGCACCTCTTAACAACCTTTGATACTACTGCTGACTTTTATGTGAAAGTTCTGTTTCTTTGTTGCTTAGACTGCATATCTATCATCCTGTCCTCCTCCTCAGCACTTTCAGTTTCTTACACATCTTAGACCCCATGACCCATCATTTTAGTCACTTTTTCTAATATAATCAAATACCAGAATATTTAATTAAATTTAATATAATCAAATGTATGTACAGGCATCAATGCCATGTAACCACTGCTGTTCCATAGGAATCCCACAGCTACACCTCCCACCCTCGCCACTTAGCTTCAGAAAGACACTAAGGTAGAAACAAGATTCTGCAGCAAACACTAGTATGTTATAATGCTCTCTGTTCTATCTGTTAACAATTTGCTCCAGGTTGTTCTTCCTGGAGCCGGCACCCTTCTTGTTCTTCTCAATTTCCCCTGCTATACCTTCCTCCTCACATTTTTCTTCATATGCCCCTGTAGTCTATGGCTTCTCAATTGAATGCCAAGCCAATACAGGTGAGCCTTACATCCTTCATCCACTGTATCTACACTCCCCAGGAGCATCCCTTCCTTTAAGGATCTTCCAAATCAACCTTGGTGGCTAAGACTTATTAAGCAATTGATTAAAAAAAACAAGAGTTACACAAAATGTGGAGCTGAACTAGCCTGGAGTTTTCGATGTAATATCATGGAAAGGGCACAGTTTGAGGTGAGTTTTGCAGGATAAGCAGTATTTAAAGTAATAGAAAGAGATATTCACTGCAGGGAAACAGTATGAAGAGGTTGGATATCATAAATCATGAGAGGGTAGAGTAACTCTTTAAAGTGGGTAAACGCAAAGACATGGAAACTATGACTGCAACATTTTTGTTTCCTGTTTGCATCTCAGTGTTTAGCTTAGCAAAATTGCCCACATAGCATATTTTAAAGCACCATTTCCCAAAGTGCTTCTGTGGAAAGTTAGTCTCATGGAATGCTCTGTAGAAAATAACAGTAATAATTTAGAGAAATGTTGAATATTTTTCCCTTCCTTGAATATATACAATGCATATGAGTTTATTTTAAAAGTTCTTAATTAGTCTTATAATTTAAAAAACATGACTTCCCCGGGAAAAGCAGGCCTCTCCCATTCATATCTCTACAGCTTCACAGTCTTTATTTACCTTCAAGTCACTTTTAGAATCTGTAATTATATTGTCTACTTATTTTTAATATTTTATTGACCACTTCCCCACTATTCTCCATGAGGACAGAGATCTTGCTTGTCTTATTTATTATTGTACATCAAGGCCTGGACATGTGATGCCACATATGTTAGGTGCTCAAAATAAGGATAAACAAATGAAGAGAATGTATCTATTTTTGTTTAACTTTGCATTTTCCAAACAGTTGAGAAAGGGTAGCACTGAATTGTGAGCAAAGAGCTGCCAGATTCAGGTCCGTTTTAGACACTATGTGGTTTGTGTTGTCATTCTCCCAGCCCCATTACCCATGGTTCTTGATGTTATAGTTTTTCTACTAGGCATTGATTTATATATGTTACCTTTTGAAGCTTGAACAGATGTCTCATATGCCCAAATTTCTTTGTTTATATATTTTAGGCAAAGGCTGCCACCCAAAAATGTTTACTACTACCGCTGCCCAGACCATAGGAAGAACTATGTGATGTCCTTTGCCTTTTGTTTTGACCGAGAAGAAGATATTTACCAGTTTGCTTACTGCTACCCATATACATACACTCGCTTCCAACATTACCTTGACAGCCTGCAAAAGAGAAACATGGATTACTTCTTTCGGGAGCAGCTGGGCCAGAGTGTGGTAAGGCCTGTGCCAGGTTTGGGTTACTTGTTTAGAAACAGGCAATCTTGGGATAGGGACTTAGCAGTGGGTTTTTATGGAATGCAAATAATGAATAGTAGTGCTTTCCAGAACTTTTCAATAATTTACTAACTACAATTAAACAATTATATAATTAGTATTAATTTAACAATTCTTTAAAGTATTGTTTTTGTTGTATGATTTATTGCGACTGTGGGGCACCATAGTAAGATATGAGAAGAAGTCACAGAGTAAGATATGAGACAGATGGTTGTTTTTCTGAATGAAGCTGATAAAGCTCTCTAGCAAAATACAAAAGTTAGGTGAATCCCAAAACCTCTGAGAGAAAAGGAGACTTTTACTAGGTGTTACAAAAGGTATGAAAGCATTTTATTACTGTGAGCTTCTGATATGAAGAACACATTTCTTAGTGAACCAAACTTGCCTGCAGTACAGGTTAGCAAGTGGTGTGCAGTTTGGTTGTGATGGCCACAGTGTGCTCTGTCTCTGTCATCCATCAGTTTCCGACTCTTTTTTTTCCTGCTCCAGGTTTAGTTTCCTGGTTCTAGAGATTTCAGTTTCCCATTCCATAATAGTTCCCTATTGCTGATGTGACAAACTACCACAAACATGGTAGTATAAAACAACACAAAATTATTTTCTTATACTTCTGGGAGCTAGAAATACAAAATGAGTCTCACTGGGCTAAAGTCAAGGTATCAGCAGATCTATGTTTCTTTTGGAGGCTCTAGGGGAGAATTTATTTCCTTGCCTTTTCCAGCTTCTAGAGGCTGCTTGCATTTCTTAGTTTGTAGTTCCCTTCCATCTTAAAAGCCATCAGTGGCTGGTTGAGTCTTTTTCATGCTGTATCACTTTGATATGAATTCTCTGTCACTTATAAAGATCCTTGTGCTTATAATGGATTTACCCAGATAAATCCAGGTTAATCTCCATATAGCAAGATCTTTAACTTAATTACATCTGTGAAGTCTCTTTTGTTATGTGAGGTAACATAGTCACAGGTTCTGGGGATTAGGAGTTAGACATCTTGTGTTGTGGAGTGGTGCATTATTTTGCCTACCACATCTTCCTACTTCCTTTTCTTTTCTTTGTTCTTCCTTTTTTTTTTTTTTTTTTTTTTTGAGATGTGAGGGAGTCACTGTCACCCAGGCTGGAGTGCAGTGGAGAGATCTCAGCTCACAGCTCACTGCAACCTCCGCCTCCCAGGTTCAAGCAATTCTCCTGCCTCAGCCTCCCGAGTAGCTGGGATTACAAGCATGCGCCACCACACCCAGCTAATTTTTATATTTTTAGTACAGACAGAGTTTCACCATGTTGGCCAGGCTGATCTCAAACTCCTGACCTCAGGTGATCCACCTGCCTTGGCCTCCCAAAGTGCTGGGATTACAGGTATGAGCCACCGCACACAGCCTCTTCCTACTTCCCTCTCTTCCTCTTGTGCCCAAACTAGGATCTGAAGTTGTTCTCCATACTGAATTAATAGGTTTTACTCTTTGTTGTCAGCAATACTTTGGTTGCTGAATAAGAATAAGCAGGTGCTAATTTGGTTTTATGTTTTACTCTTCCAAAAGTGTGGATTGTGCCCCTAAAAGAGGCATATTGGACAGGCTCTAAACGTTCTAAATGAAGATACTGGTGAAATTGGCAGAAGATACGGTACTTGGGGTTCTGATATGTGTTGGTAGTTAAATGGACTCAGCCTAGTGACTGTGAGTTTCACATAAAAGTGAGACCTATTTCTAAATAAATCCAGGATACCTCAAAAAAGAGAGCAATAAAGAGGGCCTATGTGCAACTCAGGTACCTGAGAGACAAATCTGGTCATGTTATTCTTGTAGTCTGAGATTCTGCATGCACTATGATTTTCCTAAATATCTTTTCTCTACTCCAACCTTCTTCCCAACAGTGCTTCTCATGGTATCTTCCCATTTGTATCTGTTGCCTATATATTTTGAACTGAAAATTGGTATACATGATGTATGAGTCAGCATGCTAGCAGGAAACAGATGGCAGCCTCAAATTAGGATAATTTAAGGAAGGTTTAATAAATGGGCTGTTTACAAGGTGTGGGCAATGCATGCAATGACAAGGTATAGTGAAATTCTCTAGGGCTAATAACAACTGAAATGGAATAAAGGGAAGGAATGGTTAACAGAACACAATAGTAGAGAGTCATTTAGTGGGTCATGTTGGAAAGAATTAGTGACCTTCAGTTAAGGTGCACAGTTAGCCTGAGATAACTCCATAGAGAGTGCTGAGAAAAATAAATATATAGACCTCATTCTCTTACTTATATCTGATCTTCTTCTAGGGGTCCATATTGGCCAACACAACCAGAATCCAGAGAACAAAGGAGCCCATTAATGTAATTCATACAGATCAGCCTCCCAGGGAAAATAAAAGGGTATAGATGGGTGGAGAGTGGATGTAGAGGAATACATAGAATACATTAAGTGCACCTGGTCCAATTAACAGTATATTACTGAACAGTGAGATTATTTTAGAAGGGATTGTCAGAAAAATTCTAATATTAATATTTGCTAGACATATGAATTATGATATTTTTTAAGAGAATGGGAAGTTCATTCATTACTCATAACTTTTAAGGCAGGATCTGTACATTTCACTCCTGTGCCCACCCCAACCTTCTCTTAGATTTATGACAGCCAGAATGTAGGTGCACAATGAATGCTTATTGAGTGAATGATTGAAACAATGAAAAAATGAATTAAGAACATGTCTGGAAGCAGTGTGAAAAGCTGAGAACAACAGAAAGCTAATAAGAAAAACAATAGGATCAGTTAAGCTTTCAATAATAGATATTCAAAATAACATATATAAAATAACAACAACTTAAACAAGATAGACATTTATTTCTTTTCCATGTAAAAGTCTAAATGTAGGCAATCCACAACTAATTTTGTGGCTCTACTCCTTGAAAGCCTCAAAGAGTCAGGTTCTTTCAGCTTTCTTCTCTGTCATCCTTGGGATGTGGCCCTCAACCTCATGATTCAATATGGAATTCTACCATGATATCTGTATTCCATGCAGCAGGATGAAGGGGATGGTGGAGAAAGAAGAAGCAGTTTTGTGGCATTGTCATTTACTAGAACTCATTCACATTTAACTAAAGGAAGGACAAAAAATGAAGTCTTTGTTCTGAGTAGCCCAGTTTTAGCTATAAATTGGTGGTCCTCTATGTGGGAGAATTGACATTGAGGGACAGCTTAAAGTCTCTGCCACAGGAAATCTGAATTCTGCTTTCAGCTCTAACATGAAACTACTTGTATTACCTTGAATTCTATGTTCCCTTTCTGGGGATAATTTTTTCACCTATAAAGTGAGAAAATTGGACTTGAATAGAAGTTTTCAGATTATCCTTGAGGAATTACTCAGTTGGAAAAAGTAATAGTTTGAAACTCCTGTCCTACTTCAGAGCCTGTGAGAGATACTGTGGAGATATATAACAAGGTATACATACAAGTCTTTGTATACTTCCAGGAGCATATTCTGTACCTGGGAAAAAGGGCATGTCCAAATAGCTCTGATACTTTAAAAAATATATAATTAAGGATATAATGAGTTGTTTAAGGAGTTAACAATAAAAATAAATGTCATGGAGAATGTCTTTAAAAGCTAAAGATTTTGTTTTAAGCCATCTTGAAAGATGGGTAGGATTACAGAATACAGAGTTGATAATAAGGTAGCCCAGAAAGGCAGAAAAGCCAAAGCCATTGCCTGGTGGTGGTAGTTGGTTAGAAGTCTGGTTTAATTGGAATAGGGAATTTATGGGGCTACTGGAAGATAAGGCTAGACAAGAAGATTCAGGCAAAACTCTGGAAAGCCCTGATTTTCATATTGGCTACATCCTTTATTCAGATTCTACACAACACACATACTGGGTTTTTTACTTTATATAGACCATTTGATTTTTTCTCACAATAGTTTTATAGAGTAGGCAGAACTGTCCCAGTTTGGAGATAAATAATCTGAGGATAAAAAGATAAGTTTCTTCGTTAAGGCCACATGACTAGTTCATATCAGGGCCAAGATTTAAACCCATGGCTTCTAACACCATGTCCTGGCCCTTTGATGGACATTTTAATACCCAAAAAGATTTTTGAGAAAGGGATTTACCTTATCCAAAGCAACATTTTAAGAAAGTACATTTAATGGAAATATGGGGTGTACCTGTGCCATCTGGACTAGATCAAGGAAGCTCTGTGGGTTGGCTCAATCCTGTGTTCTGGGCCTTGATGCAGACACTAGAGATTTTAAGGCTTTCTGGCATACTTTTGCAGACAGGATGATTCTCAGTTACCAGGGTATTTGATATGGCTTGTGTCTGAAGGCATCACTGTAATTAGTTAATCCTTATTCCAATTCGGAGGGAGGGTAATTACAAGTGGGAAGGCTAAACATGCCAGCATCCAGATCTTAGGGAGACCAGGCAGGAAGGAAGATTTTGAATTTTCAGTGCTAGAACTATTAATCACTATGGTCATAGCTGTCACTGGTACTAATTATATCATCCAAGAATATATTTTATTTTGTTACCAGTAGTAACCCCTTTGAAACCTACTGAACAAAACGCCTTTGAACATGTATTTAGAACCGTGATCTGCCATTTAAGATAAGGACATCATGAGAAAGATATTTTTATTATTTTTAATAGCTTTATTGAGGTATAACTTGCAGTGTATAAAATTCATGCATTGTAAGGGTATAATTTTATGATGTTTAGTATCTTATGATTTTTATAGAGTTCTGTGTCTATTACCACAATCTGATTTTAGAACATTTCCATCATCTCAAAAAGTTCCCTTGTTAATTCTCACATCCAGTCCTAGCTGCAGGTAACTACCGATCTGCTGACACCATAAATTTGCCATTTCTGAACATTTCATATAAACAGAATTAGAGCATATGTAGTCATCTTATGCATCTTGCATTTTTCACTTAACACTGTAATATGGATG